GAAGATGTGGGGAGCTTTCCTATAAGCCGCTGGAGATGGAAAATGAGGCAGCCACTTTGGAAAACAGTTTGGCAGTTCTTCAAAATGTTAAGCAAAGAGAGGCCATTTGGCTCAGCAATTCTACTCTTACTCTGAGAGAAATGAAAACTCATGTCCACACAAACTTGTACACAAGTGTTCACAGAAGCCAAAAGTGGAAACAACCTAAGTGCCCATCAAGTGATGAGTGGATGGAGAAAATGCAGGGGAGCTACACGGTGGAATACTACTTGGCAATAAAAAGGGACGAAGGGCTGATTCATGCCATAGCACAAGTGAACCTTGAAAACACTATGTTCAGCAAGTAAGGCAGGCACAAAAGAACACAGTCATAATTCCATTTATATGCAATGTCCAGATCAGGCAAATCTATAGGGACGTTAGAGGCTGCCTAGGGCTGAGGAGGGGTGGGAAGTGACCCCTCGTGAGTAGAAAAAGTCAATTTTTTCTTTTGGAGAGATGAAGATGCTTTATATTGAGATTTGGGAGCTGATTTCATAAGTCTTTGAATAACTATTAATAACTCAGTAATAACTACTGAATTATGTGAATTACACATCAACAAAGATGTTTAAGAAAAAAAGGAAGTTGGGGCCTTCCTTTTGTCTCGTTTTCTTCTTTCTCCCTTACTTCTTTCTACTGGCTGGAATGCAGTTGTGATGGCTGGCACTGGGACGGTCACTCTGACCCCTATGACGACTGGCAAGTAGGTTACTTGAAGCAGAGCAACAGAACAGAAGGACCCTGGGATGGAGACTATGGAGTGTTCTATCAGTTCTGGAGCACAATCTGTTAATCTTCATGCGAGAAAAATATTCTGTTGTTTTCTTTCAGTTGCTGTTATTCTGAGTCTGTTAGTCAGATACAGCCTCTGGGTGGGAGGCTGGCCTGACCCCTCTAGCCGAAGGCAGCCCCCTGGGTAGTTCTTTCGTATCAGGCCCGAATTTAATCTGGCCTCTGCCTGGCACACCCAGAGCCCAGCACTCCTAGACACCTCAGGAATATGACTCTCATGCCCCTCTCACCAGTGTAATGCAGACCTCTCCGCGATTCCACTCTAAAGTTCACTCTCCACCCAGAGCTTCCCACCTCCAGATGTTGCCTAGCTGCTGAGGACATGCAGAGAAGAGAAAGCAGAACTTTTCTGTTTGCTTCCAACCTGGAGGGCAGCCCACATATCCCTGAGACCCGTGCCTGACCCTAGAGGCTTCCCCATGTGGCTGCTGCCTCCTGGGGCCTCTGCTGGAGCCAGCACACAGTCAGGATGACAGTAGCCAATCCACACCCATCCTTAACCCTGCACATCCCTCTCCTGAGTCTCCCAGTGGCCCAGCATGGCCTGCTGTGTCAGAAAAAATGGGGACCAGCTGGAAACAGCATTCATGTGGGGCTGTCACCGCCCGTCAGCATGAGGGTGTCCAGCTGTCCAAGGCTGGCAGAGGAGAGCCACAGGCGTTGTTCCTGCCCCAAAGGGAAGCAGATGTTCCCATGGACTGAGCCAAGAGCAGACTTGAGAAGATGGGGGTGGGGTGCTGCTGGGTGTTAGGAGTCCTGTGCTACACACTGACTCAGTCTGGGTCTGCTGTGTGACCCTTGTCTTTTCTGGCCTTAGTTTTCCCATCTGTCACAGGAGAGGTATGGGCTAGGTCACTTCCTAGTGTCTTCCCATGGGACTCCCAAAGATGGATTCAACCATAGTCTAGTTTGATGAAACGTCTGGATTAGGGGCTTCCTGATGGCATGTCAAACCTCACAGTGTTTACAGGGTGGGACTTGGCGTGTGGGGCAGGGTGAGGGCGCCGTGTCCAAGGGGTGAGAGCCCCCAATGGCCATCTTTCCCACCTCACACCCCACAGGGGCTCACCGCACAACCACTGTCACCTGCAACCCACACTGAGGCCTCCACTATGGATCCCTGTGCTAGAACTGGCTACAGAGGCCCTTGCGGAAGGAGGGAGAGTGCAGAGATGGGTTTGGGGCCCCCTGCATCCTAAGTCACTGAAGAACCTCTACTTGTAACCAGCTTCTCACATGGGGTATATCTGCACACAGTTCCATAGAAGAAAGGGCTTTACACTTTAACAAAGAACAGAAAAAGAAAGCCGAGGTCCATCATCTACATTGTGCCCTAATTGCCCTGACACGCCTTGCCTCATGCGACAACATGGTCTCTGTGCCCAGTTGGCTGAGGTGAGGGGGCCTTCCGGTCATATCCTCAGAGTCCAAGGATGCAACCAAGGGGCTTGGCTCCTCCCTCCCTCCCAGATGCCTGCCCTTGACCTTCTCTTCCAGGCTCCCCCACAACAGTATCCAGCATCGTTCTCCAGGGCTAAGACTTCCAGTCCCCCTCGACCTGGATCTCCCTGTTTGGTGGGACACTGGCTTGTGATCACATTATGGAAATGCATGCACTGTTCAAGCTGGGGCACAGCTCTCAGAGGACATGGCTCATGGGGAGGGTGGCCTGAGCTTGGGAAGAGCAGAGCAGGTACTCCAGGAGCAGAGACCAGGGAGGTATATGTGCCACTGCAGATGAGTGGGTGGCTAGACCCCAGCACCCCAGAAACACTTACTAGCTGTTCACAGGCTGAGAGACTGGGAGGGCACCCAGATTAGTCTTGGTGGATGCAGAAGTAAGAAGGCCTATGGGGTGTGACCTGGCAAAGGGTCAGGGAGTCAGTGGCAGCTGTAACTGACACACTCAAGGTGTATGAAACAGGAAAACACACACTCAAATAGACATTTGCACCCCATGTTCATAACATCACTTTTCATAAGATCCAGAGTTAGAAATAATCCACGTGACCATCAACAGATGATGGGGTAAAGATGTGGTGTACTTACATTTTGGAATATTACTCACTTGTAAACAAGGATATAACCCTGTCATTTGCAATTACAGGGATGGACTGGAGGGGATTATACTCAGGGCAATAAATCAGACAGAGAAAGACAAACATGGAATGACTCCACTTATACACTATATATATATAGGAAACAAAAGAATGAACTAAATAAAACAAAAAGAATTGTTAGCGATAAGACCAAATCAGTGACCACCTAAAGGAAGGGGACAGAGAGGCAGGTAAATTGGGTAAGAAGGGTCAAATGCATGGCGAAGGACAGAATTGGACCCTAGTAGTAGATACACATGTTGGTTTATAATGATGCATGCCTATAACTTATATAATGTTATAATGCCATATTACTATAGTTAGAAAGAAAACAGCTGGGAAGCATACAGCTGGTCTTTTCAGAATGGCAGGACTTTCTCTGTGAGCTTCTTTGAGAGGCTGGTCTCCAGGCCACAGTGATAGCTCAGGTAGAATGACTGTGCAGTCTCAGACCTGATCTTGAAGCCAGGTGACCCTGGCCACGTGGTATCGAGTGAGCCTACAGTCTGCACCCTCCACCCCATGCTATCTGGTTGGTCCCTGCAGCACATCGTCTCTCTCCACTCTCGATTCATAGCTCTGGTTTCTGGGGTGATCTCTGCCATTCTGCCAGCCCTGTTGATTCTTTTTGGGCCACTTACCATCAATGACCCTCTTCACCCGCCAGATCCGGAGCATAATAATGAGGCTGATGGCATCCCAGGGGCTCCTGGGTCCATTGGCCACAGTGGATGCCACCATTGGTGCCAAGGACAGGATGATCACAGCCCCATCAAACACCTGTGAGAGGAAGTGGATTTCAGTGCCCTGGGGCCACCACCCTGAATGTCCCAGAAACAGAGACCAGTCCAGGCAAAGCAGCTGCTGCCACTACCCTCTCCTCCTGCCCCCATCAGGTCACTCCCTGAAACAAACCCCTCTTCTGACTCTCCTCAGCCTTTAGGGGCGCCCCCTATCCTCACACCTGCCCCAAGGCACTCTCTTGGGCTCTCAAGTGACCTCAGCCCATCTCCAGGCTTTGTCAAATGGCCTTGGCTTCTTCTAAGCATCTTTTCCATGTCTTGCCCTTTCTTGGTGGGGCCTGCAACCAGTGTCCCAGGGCCCCCCTGAGTCCTCACTGGCAGTGGGACTGAACTTATGCCAAGGGATACCTCCCCCCTTGGGCCTCAGGATCCCAGAGTCTCATCTCTACTTCAAGCAAATCTCTAGCCCACAGGGAGCAGGGCAAGAAGTAGGAGTGGTCCAGCCTGATTGTTTAGCCCTGGGCCCTGACCTTCTTTTGGCCTGCTCCAGCCTGGTTTTGGTCTGAAAATTCCAAGGGCCAGCCCTCCTGTGGGCTACAAAGTGGGTGGGGAGGTGAGGAAGGCAGAGGCCAACTTCCTTCCCTTGTCTCATGTGTACACAACTTCCCTGATGGCCTGGCCGGGCCTCCCCACATCCCCTCCCCCAACACCTTTCCATGAAACAGAGCAGCTGGTTCACTCTGCAAGAACCAGTGCAAAATGACTCTTACAGTTTCTCACTGAGTTCTCCAGTCATTGGGCCATTTTAGAATGGGTTTGTTGCAAAACACATTTCAAAAGCTTTCGGAAATGATTCCAGAATAACTTAAAACTTTGCAGAGCTTCAAGATTTTTCAGACCATTCCTTCGCTGGAAACTTTCTCAGTTTGCGTCCTCTCCTCAACCCCACATGCACAGCTACAGAGGTGCCTGCACGAGATGTGTGAAGGGGTGGGTCTTTTTCAGCACCCCACCTGGGGGGACCGGGCGGCACTGGTTACCAGTTTCCAGGATGGCAGGTTTGGGGCTTGGGGTAGATACTGGCTTTTACCTCTATTTTGTTTTCGATGTAATCCCAGATCCCAAGCACCACAATTCGCAGAACAGTCTGAGGAGAGGAAGTGAGAAAAGAGGTTTGTTTATCACTCACAGGTTCTTGCCCCTCCCCCTAGTGGAGAGGATTCCAGAACTCAAAATTTGGGGTTCGGCTTGCTCTATGATGGAAAAACATCATCCCAGCCCACACGGAAGTGTTACCATCTGTGCCAGCACCTCGCTCAGGAGCCTTAAGTGCTCCCAGTACCTATAGAACATACCTGTGTCCTGTGGGATAATATGCAAGACCCTGCTTCTCTCTTCAGTTAAGACTCACTCTCCAGTTGTGGCACAAATCGCTAGCACACACACAACCATGTGAAGCTTAGGCCCTGCCTGTGGCAGGACTGCTCATGACTCTCCTTTGATCTCTCTTCTCTCCTAATACCTCATCACCCAGCTAAAAACTACATTTCCCAACCTTACTTGCATCTCAGAGAGGCCATGTGACCAAGCTTTGGCCAATGGCATATGAAGAGAAATCTGTGCCCCACTTCTGGGCTGTACCCTTCAAAGGATTAAATTTTGCTTCCTCTGTCTCTCTTCCCAAAGTCTAGTACCTGGGTGCACAGGTAGGATGGTGAACCACACTGAACAGAAGCAGGCTGACCAAGATGGAAGTGTGCTGGGTCACCTGGCCTTGATGACACTGAAGACAGCCTGTGGGGGTTCACCCACACTTTATACTACAAGGAAACCTGACTGGTTAAAATGCACTTCTTCCTCCATAGGGATCTTCCTGACTTCCACTAAGGGGTGAGAAGGTAGGGGGATGGGGACAGCAATCTTTGTGACAGAGAGATATGTAGTGGCCTGATATCTCTCCTGATGACTCCCCAATCTCTTGGGTGGGACCCAGGTTTAAATTAAAGACAGCTCTGTGGGGATGAAGAGATAACTGGGATTGGATCTCAGATTCTTCATGTCAAGGCTCAGTATGGGCTGGCTGTGTGGCAGTGGGCAAGTCAAATCCCCTCTCTGGGCTCCTTTTCTCCTTTTTTCCTGGCGAGAAGTGGAGGCTGCTCAAGGTGACGCAGGCATTGGGTGGGGACATCAACTTTTGAAGCCAAAGATTTTTGACTGCATAGTGGCCTCATGTTGGGTAAGAACACATATGCTGTTCTGGGTTCTTTTGCAGCTGTTTAATCCAGCTAATTGTGCTGAGCTCAAAACATGGTGTTTGTCTCCTCTGGAATGTTACACCAGCCACATCCACCCAAATTCCCAATTGGGGCTTCCAAAGCAAAAAACCAGGGTAGGGCTGCAGGAAACATGGCCTGGCCCAAACATGATTTCTCATGCTACTGCTTGTTCTTTATCCTTTTAAAATTGCATGTAACATGAAATTTACCATTTTAACCTTTTCAGAAGTGAACTGTGGCACCAAGGATACTCACACTGACATGCAACCATCATCACCACTCTCTTCCAGAACTTTTTCATAGTCCCAAACTAAAACTCTGTCCCATTAAACATTAACTCCCCACTCTGTGGGTCCCAGTCTCTGGCACCCAGCACTCTACTCTCTCTTAGACTGACCACTTTAGGGACCTCACCTGAAGGCATCATGCTGCTTCTTTATAAACAAATCTTAGCTAGCCAAAAAGGCAGTGGCCCATGGGTATGAGGTGGGGTGGGGCCGGAAGGAAGGATATCAGTCACAAGACTGGGCCAGCAACCCCAGAAGGAAGATGGGACAGAATGTGGAGCTCCAGTGCTCTGGGAGGGGTGGAGGCAAGATGGGTTTACGGGGGACACAGTTGCCAGGCAAATGAGCAGATCAGCAGCATCACTGTCCCTTCTCTCCCCATCGTGGTGGGCCTTCCCCAAGCTCCCCATTGCCCAGGATCCTGCTCAAGCCCCCCACCCTTTCCTAGCTCAGCTCTGGAAGGTCCTGCTCAGTAGTTTGTTCCTTGTAGCATCCCTGGCTGAGACCCTCTGTTCATGGAGGCAGTGACCTGGCCACAGCATTCTGCCACCCCGAGGCACCCAGTGCGGGACTTGCCCTCTGACTGCTTGTGCTTCTCAGCACAGGCCAGGGAACCTGCTTCTGCCACATCTGGGGTGAGTTGCTCAAAACACAGATTCCTAGATTCTCATGGAGACCCAGGTTATCCTTTTTTTAAAAAAGATTTATTTATTTATTTGTTTGTTTGTTTGTTTATGCATAAAGAACTCGAGTACAGGCCAGAGGTATAGGGGAGGTGAGAGGCTTCACCAGAGACAGTGGGGAGCAGAACAGGCAGATGGACGAAGTACACTGCTGAGGGGAGCAGCGGGTGGGTCAGGAAGGATCTGCTGCGCCATGTGGTCACCTCCGCCATGTGGTCACCTCCAGGGCAGGGGATCGAGCTCACACTGAAGTGGCTGAAGCTTGCTTGCAGTGCTGTGTTTTAACCCATTGTGCCACCAGGGAGGGCTCAGGGTATCCGTTTTAACATGCTTCCAGAGCAACTAAAAGTAGGTGGGATGTGTAAGGTGACACCCTGAGTGAAGACAGGGCCACCTGCCCAGGTGCAACAGAGTATTAAGATTTGAGTCAAGATCTCTAGGCATTTTGGGGCTTTAATCTCCTTACTAACCTTGTGACACGTGTCAGACCCTTCTCAAATCAGGCACAGCAGGCCCATACTGCCTGTATCCCTGCACAACAGCACAACGAAGCACTCCTGGGAACTGCTTTGTGAGCATGAGTGCAGGTGATGAGGAGGCCAGGATGGCAAGGACTGGGGAGGGCCTGAGTGAACAGAAAAACTCAGTTTAGCTGTCCTTTCCATGTGGGAAGAGTCAAGCCTCCCTTATTCTGACTGTGGCTTCAGGAGATGAGGATGTACGGACACATGGAAAAGGACTCTCAGCTAAACCTAGGAGGTAGCACCGCTGATTGAGTAAGATCAACCCAATTTTGGTGCCATTTCACAGTTGCAGAAACAGAGGCCCATGGGGGACAGGCAAACCCTTCCTCCTTCCACGTCAGGAGGGAGCCCCTTGTCTCTCCTGGGGTGTGGGGAGTTTCAGGCTTCTGGCAGCAAGAGAGGGTGGAAAGCCCCAGTTTCTGCTTCGCTCCCAGCTCATCTCAGTTAAGTGGCAGCAGGTCCTATGAGGGGTAAAGGGAACCACCATCTATCTCTGGATGGGGCATGAGCAGGCCCCTAGGGTTGGGAATTGGAGTACAGGTCAGAGGTACAGGGGCGTGAGAGGATTAGCTATAGACAGAATCCAGTTATAAAGAAAAAGTAAGGAATGTAAGAACCCATATGAGAGCTGGAAGCAGAATCTAACTGGCATATAAAGGTTTGTGGGTAACAGCAGTTGAGGGGTGGCTCTATATGGAAGGGTGCAGGCCAGGCTCAACTTGGCTGGCAGTATCCCTGGTTTGGCATATCGGACTCAGCAGACTTCTCCCTGAGGAGCCGGGGGGGGGGGGGCCCAGGACCTACTCTGAGAGACTGTGCTGGGAGATGGGTCATTTCTAGAGGGGTCAGGAGTCAGTCAAGCAGGAGCAAAGCAAAGATGACCCAGAGAGCTGGCCTCTGCTGCAGTGGTCTGAGGTGTACCCGACCAGTGCCATGGCCGATGCCCCCAGGGGCTAGGGGTCACAGCTGAGATTCCTCAGTTTCTCTGGTGTTGGGTTCATCTGACAGCAGTTTCCCTTAAAAGAAATGGCTCTAGGCAGCAGGCGATGGGATGCTGAGGACATGACCACACATCAAATAACTCAGTGGTGGGAAGAAAGGGCTCACTACTTTCACTACATGAAAGGATTCACTACATTTTTTTGTTGTTGTGTTTCAACTATTTCCTAAAACCAAACAAAACCTATGCAGAGTCCTCCTAAATATGTTATTGCAAAGAATGTGTAATGACATGGAGAGACATGTACAAAATATGAGTAGACAAAAAGAAAAACAGGTCCCTGAATATTGGATCCACGATGACCCCGTTTTTCTGAGGGAAGGGGTAAGTACATAGCTACCTGTGAGAAAGGCTCACTGGACAGAGACCAAACAAGCAGCAGCTCTCTGCGGGTGATGAAGACGTGGGCAGAATTCTTGGAAAGCATGACCATTTGTTGATGCATTGGGTGAGCGAAGGCAGCCTCCATGCTCCCCCTGGTGTGCATGAAGGGACCCCACCTTTGGATGGTCACCCACCCAGGCCCTCCAGTATCATCCGAGGGCCCTGCACGAGGCCTGAGTACTCTGCTGAGTACTCAAGCAGAGTACTCAAGGTCAGGGAGGATGCCCTTCTTTTCTGCTACCTCCCTCCTTCAGCTCTCCCCACTAGCCCTGATCTGCCGTGGTTGAGGAGGCTGTGGAAGTGGGAGTCCTGGGCCTGAGATCATTCTTGGATCAGAGTTGGAGGGAGGACTTTAAACAGCATGCTGTGTGACCCAGCCCCTCCAGGATGTGCACCCCTAACCCAGAGGTAGTGTTCAGGCCTGAGCCTGAAGACGGCATGACCCTGCCTACAGCTGCACATTCCAGCGTGCTTAGACAATCCTCTCAACCCAAGTACCACACTCCTAAGATCACTGCCAAGGTCACGGCAGATGAAAAGTGGAAATGACATCTTGAAGAATAATTTCATAAACTTAACACAGTCATCCCTTCAATGTGGGTGCCACGCCCAGGCCCAGGCTCAGTGATGGGGAGCGGGAAGAGCGCAGTGAGGCATCCATTTCCTGCTACAGCACAACTGGGGCAAAACCCGAGCCGAAGAAGTAAAGTAACTAGGCTTTCAGAGCTGAGCGGGGAGGCCCACGTGGGCTGTCAGAATGGGAGGGAGGCCAGGGAGGCAGCCTGCAGGACAGGAAGGGCTCCCAGGAGTCACTGCTGTGGGCAAGTCCTTCCAGGTAGGAGGCACAGGCCAGGCATTTAAAGAGAAAGTGCGCAGAGCTCATGTGGTTCTTTGGCACAATTTAGACAAGGTGCGCCGATTTGGGGACACTTGTGCCTACTAGAAAACGGTTACACATACTCATTTTAAAAATTAGACACGTGCCCTCCCTGG